CATGAACATACATATTTAGAATTCTTCTCCTCTGTTCTCTCTCTACATTGTTTATGTTTTCTGTTCTATTTTTTTCACAGTTTAAACTGATCATTTGACTGATGATGTTAGTAGTTAACTGACGAAACGTCTCGATAGTATTATTTTATTAATGCTAAAAAAGATGATTTAGCTCTTGATTTTTTTATTTAGAATTACTTTATGTGGAATATTTCAGTAATTAAAATCTAAAATCTTACCGTTGATCCATCATTATTTGTTATAATATGTGAATAATTTGTATATGATACGCTTATATTTGGTGTATTCAATTTGATTGTAAAATTTTCATTTTCATCAGGATCTATAATATGCAATAAACCAATCGTTGTATTATATTTTTCTCTATGGATTAAATTATTTGTTGGATCGTTTTTCCATGATGAGATAGTCACATTTTCTGGATATTCATTCACGTCAGTTATGTTAAACATGAATAACCTTTCAACCTGAAAAAGACGTTAAGTGTATTATCTCATGCAGATACAGAAAGGGAACTTTTATGATTTTTTAAATGTATTTTTTACTGTAAACACATGTTTTCATTTTTTAAAATTACTATCAATCAAACTAATACAAACGTTATACGCACAAACAATGGTGGATGTCCATTGTCAGTTGCTCTGATCATCAATGGGTAGAATTTTTTTGTCTCATAATTAACTGGATGTTTCAATACTAGTTTATCCCCGACAATTCCAAATACAGGACTATCCAACGTGTAAGTCAACGTTTGATTAAAATCATCATCTACTGCATGAATAATGGCAATTGTTGAATTAACTGGAGTATTTTCTGATATGGATTGATCTAAAACAGTATTAAAAATATTAAAGAAAAAATAAATGTATGCAGACTTGTTCCGATTATTCCAACTTTGGGAGGAGATAAAAAATTTCTGTAGAAATAGGACATAGTTTCTTCAGACAGTAATTTTTAATAAGATTTTCTAAGAGTTCGTTTCTTTATTCAAGATGTTGCAATCCTTTTCATCTGGCCGAGTTCAATGAGTTGAGTAAGAACTCCTACATCCAGACCTCCGGAGACGGTACACGTTTCCATATGTCTTAATTTTGCTTTCTCATAGAAAGTGGCGTCAGTTATTTTTTAGACTCTCGTCTGTGGGCTATTCGCCTTCTCAAAACAAAAGATTACATCGATCATGCAATAAAAAGCGTATTTCTTGACAAAATGGACGATGCGACATGCTGAGATCTTGACCACCTGACGTATAAAGATCCAACGGTATTGAGGTCTTTCCTCGTGATCTCACCAACTTTGATAAAATTTAAAAAGCAACGTCAATTTTCTACTAAATAGGTCAACTTTCCATAGTAAGATCAGCAGTTCAGATGAATATACCCCATTTTAATGTTAATAAAATGTATTTGGCACGAAAATATTTAAAATATGCAATAAGACGAATACTTCGCCTTCCTTAGACTATGGTCACAGTTAAGCTTCAATTTCGCTCATCTTTTCCAGTTAAAGCAATCCAAGAAAGAAGAATCAGGATCTTCAGACCTTTCTATGCTCTTATGGAACGTGGTCTTCTCTATTCGATTCAATCATCGTACCACTTAGTGTTAAATTATATGGTGCTTCATTTTCATCGATAAGGAAAATTTCTAAAGTAACATTTCTCAATGTCTGATTAGTAGCAGGATCAATAACAGCCACGGTAATATTTAGCGATTTTTCTTTTTCATAATCAAATAAACACGTTCCGTTCGAATGACAATCAGCAATATGTTTTGCTACCTAAAAAAAAATGAATAATTCAAGTGAATAATTTTTCAAAGGCTGTAAAAATGTTTTTAGAAGAGAATATAAAAATATAAAAAACTTTTTAACCTACCGATAACGTCGTTCCGTTCAATTTGAATCTTCCATCGGTATCGTCGATAAGCAGAAATGTGTAATTTCCGATTCCGTTCTGAAGTATCAAATCACCAATTGGTGAATTCAACAGTGGATTTTCAGTAATCTAAATGTAATGAAATTATCCTTGACACGATGACTTTAAAATATTTCTTTTTTATCTCCTACTTTATTATTTGATAATGTTAAATTAAAATCACTTTTATCTTTAAGATAAATTGTTATTGTTTTTTCAATCATTTCATTATTTTCGTCTTGTACCATAAAAGAAATATTATACATTGGAACTTTTATAAGATCAAAATTAACATCATCTGTTATCTATAACAAGTAAGTTTAGATGTTAACTACTATTCTACAGTGATTTGGATGACATGAAAATAACTCACTCTAATTAATGTTAAATTAACAATTTCTATCGGATACGTATTGTTTGTTCCATTAAAAATTACATTATGAATTGTTTGATTAGTACGTGTATCAATGGCACCAACTAATCCAATTTCTTTTCCATGATCATCTTTTGAAATAATTATTGAATCTATCGTGTGATTATCTATCGTTAAACTCTAAAATTTAATAATCAAAAAATCATATTTTTAAAAAAATATTTCATATACAAATGAGCCTACAGTATTTTCAAATTTAAACTGTAATGGATATGGAAATTGTTTAGCTTCATTATTGTTGTTTAATATGGGAGTTGTTTTTACTCTGTATCCTTCTGGTGGTATGATTGGATTATTGATAATTACTGTTGATGTGCAAAGTTTCATAAGAGAATTTGATATTGGTTCGCATGTAGGTATCGAAAATGATAATTCAGGATTTGTTCCATTCAATGTCAATTCTCTAATTGTATCTTCCATTAAAAACGAAATTTTACCTAATGTTGGTTGGTTGTAAGCAATACTGGGAAATACAAATGGTTGTTTTGACTGTATTTTATTCATCAATAAATCGTTAATTGTATTATTAGTAGGATCATTACCAGGTGGAATATAGACATATGTTTGAGGAAACTCATTCACATCAAGTATTTCAATTGTAAATTCTCGTATAATCTAAAAAAATGAAAAAAAAAATGAAGCAAATATAGAAATGATATTTATTTGCCCACATTTTTTGGTTCTGTTCCATTATCTTTTGCTTCAACTGTTATTGTAACACGGTGATATTTTTCATAATCTGGTAATTTACCAAGACGTAATGTATTCCCATCCATATAAAATAACCCACTTGGGTCATCTAACAACGTGTAATTTAATATTTGATATATATCTTGATCTTGGGCTGAAAATGATCCAATTAATGTACCTATTGGTGAATTTTCTGCTACAATATTATCATCTAATCTCAAATTAACAGGTGGATCATTTTCATCTATGATAATGACTTCAATCCAAAATTTATTGTATGCACGTGGTAGACCATAATCTTCAACCATGACACGGAGTCTTAATGACTGAATTTGTTCAAAATCATGTGGACACCTTTCCGGTTCGATTATACACGCCTCTATATCATTATCTTTTGTTAACTACAATAGATAGTAGACAATGGAAGATAACAGGAAGTTTTTGTCTCAAGAAAAAAAATACTTACTACTAGTAAATTGCCTTCGAGTCGAAACATATCGGCTGGATCATCAACAATAAATAAGTCGAATATTTGATTTGGTGGATAATCAGGATCAGTCACAGTAAAATTACCAATAATATAACCCGCATGCGCATTTTCTGGTAGCTATAATTTCCACAGAACATGTATAACATGTAATAACATCCAATTTTTACCGTCTATTTTAGCATTTGTGCTCTATTTATTATAAGGAAAAATATTTTAATATATGTTAACTTACAGTATTCGGAGACAAGATGAGATCGACGGGCGCTTCGTTGATATCCGCTATATCAATACTAAAATTTTTGGCTATTGTATTGTGATGAATTTGATCGTAACATGTTACCGTAATGTTGTAGGAGTGAGTTGTTTCATAGTCAAGATCATAATCTACTTTCAGAAGATAGAAAATAGAAAAAAATGAAAAAATTATTATCATCATTTGTTGTCTTACTGTTATTATGCATTGTCAAACTTGTTCTTAATGTTCTATTAACAATCTCAAATGGTTGTTGATCATTTGGTACATCCCATGTAAACATTACACATGTAAAATTATCATTCTCCGAATCGACAACATACAAATCAGCAATATCAAAATCACGACTATTCTCAGGTACAGATAAATAATGTAAATTAAAATATAAATCCTGAATAGATGAAAAATAGTTTAATAAAAATGAATAAATAATTATTCTTTAACACTAGAACGCCCGGAAATTTTCATGACGTAGAACGCCCAAAGCGGTCATTTTAACCGTTACTGTTTTTTTTTTAATATTTTATACTTAAAAATGTTTCTGAATTCAAAAATGAATTAACAATTCTGCAAAAAATAATTTTTGTAGGACAAATTAAAAGTTATGATATAATTTATTTTTAAATAAATTGTATGCAGTTTATTTTATTAAGGATAAAAATCACAAAACGGTCAAAATGACCGATACGGGTGTTCTAGTGTTAATGAATACCTCAGGTGGTAGATTGATACTATCAGCTGCTTGTCGACGATAACGTTTATGATGATCTTCTTCTTCGATATCATTACATTCAATGATAATTCTCACTACATTCTCAGTATCTTGATAATCAAATGAGTTCGATTCAATAGGATCAATACATGAGTTCTAAATTGATAAAATGACATTTATTTGTTCATATCGTTCAAGAACAGTGTTAAGTTGTTGATTATATTCCTAGACCTCTAACTCAAGGTAATTAAAACATGAAGCGCTCCTTGAAAAAGATATTAGTTTCAAAAATCTGTTTGAAAAATGATTAAAAAACTTTTCAAAAAATTCTTATGATTTCTTATGAATATCTTATAAGATTCTTATAAATTTCTTATTAAAAACAGTAAATTACTTATCACTTTCGTGCAACTTCTTATATAAGAAATTGATAAGAAACCAATAAGATTCTTATCAGAATTAATAAATTTTTTTCGGTCGGGGTAGACATACGCACAAGTGTTGTGTATCAAATTTAAGTTAACTTGAGTTAAGTTTGTGTGAAAGACGCTTTGATAGAACGTACCTGTCTCATACAATGATAGTATAAATGAGTATTCGTCTACAAAAAAGAAATGAAGCGCATCACTGCTTTTTTTTAACCATTACGATTACCTTGATATTATCTTGATATTTTTTGTAATGGCTAATTTATTTATAAAAGAACTAACATTTAATCTACTTTTATTTTGTCAAAATTATAAGAACAATAAGATGAGCTCTTCATTGAAAGTTTGAATCTCCTTGAATTACTCTCCTCTCAGACATAAAATTAAATAGGTCAAACACTTCAGACTTATAATATATTAAAAAAATAAAAATAAAATATTCATTAAAAATGACAGCGCCGGATCATTTCTATTTTTACATTTAAACCGAGCTTGAAAACTCATTCCATTTATATTATTTTGATTTGGACTCATCGAAAAATTAAATGATTAAGAGAAAGTGTGTATTCGAGGCTAAGGTCAACTGATTAGAAAAATTACAAAAATTTAGATTTAGACGTATACAGAATAACAGCTCCTTGCTTAGCATCTCTCCTTTTTTATCTTATACAAATACATTGAATAGTTCGCTCTAGTGCACTAATGATTTGTCGGCGCTTGTATAACGATCACTGCACGTTAGTCATTATGTTTTAGAGTAAATAAGATCTTTGTTTATCTTCAACTGGTTTAGATTTCTTCTGAAGTGTAATAGAATTACTCAATAAAACAGAAAACTGCGGTAAAAATGCGACGTTTTTCGCTCGACAAAGAGAAAGAATCGGTGATTATGGAAGCTGGAGATAAAGAAGAACAATATTAGAATGAGTTTTTTTCGATATAATGAAAAATTGTCGTATTTTACATTCAATAATATTATTATAATCAAAAATAAAACAATTGAAAGTATATACTATAAAATATGATAAATATGATACCTGGACTTTTATTTGTTATTATTTCATCTAATATTGATTCTTACTAATTTTCTTTCGCCGTTTTTCCGAAGAACAAACATTACTATGAGACTCACCGTGATCAATAGCTGAAAGTCTATCCGTTTTTGAAGTGACCAGGAATCAGAGAATATCAACCGTCAGACTCCTATTCGATGTTACGCCTACGATAGATGAAAAGTCTGAATAACTTCCATTTGTACAAGGCCACTTTGAGCTATCTATGTAAAAAGATATGTTTCAATTTTAAATTTCAAAAAGTCAAACAGATTTTCTAAACACCCTTTCAAAGTCCTATAGTGATGGTGAAATATTTAACTAAACTTCTCAATTAATTTAGCTTTATATTAGATGTATGAATAAATATGATATAATTCAACATACTGTTAATAAATGATTATTTATCAGTAAGACAACCATTCAAAATTCAAAAGAGATTTTTGTGTTTGTTCAGACAAAGTATATTTCGGGTAATCTGGCTTACTGAAAATTTTTATTACAATAAGATTTGTTATACCATTATGTGACAAATGTCGTGTCAATGCATCAGGTAGTGAGCGGAAGCTCATTGTTCACAACATTAGATTAGTCAAGTTTTCTTAGCTTAGATGTTTGATTTTCATAGCTAAAATCGGTATTAACAACGTCCAAATTAGTCCCTTGACCAGCACTATTGTTGAATAATTCCTTTACAGTTTTATGAGTGGAAATGTTTTTTTGTCTGGTGCGAGCCTACAATGACTTACTGGAGTATGAGTTTATTCATCTGAAGCACCGTTATGGTAAAAGCACTTTGAATGGAAGAGACGAGGAGTAGAGCCCTGCAGGTTACGACTTTTTAACAACCTATAACCCAACCTAACCTATTAATGTTTTTCGTAACCTAACCTAGGTTAACCTAATATAATCTATGCAATTTTTTCCCAAAATTTGGTTTCAGAAGCCTAAACTTTAGCTTTGTTCCATATCGTTATTGTTTCTTATCTAAACAGCGTCTGATAGAAAAGCTTATTACAAAATAAATCACATTTTAAATGAATATAGAAATGAATCGATTGAGTCTTTTATTCTTTAATGCAATCTTTGGAAAATAGCTTTCTGAGTACGGAGATCCTCTTAAGAGTAGATCGCAATTTCGCGTTAGGCTCTCGATGCCAGGAAGGTTCTGTTATTGTCGTGTATTTGCCATCTATTTTTAGCAAACGGAAGTTTTTTCTCTGTACTTCCTTTTTTGATTATGCCATTTTCCAGTTTAAAAATAGTTCAGTTTAAACTAGAAACCCTCAGTCTGAACTTTATTGCTCAATCGATAAAGTTCCACTCGGACTACGTTTTATTACTTAAAGTATTGGCTGTTTTAATGTTGTCGTTCAAAATCAATCTTTTGCGTTTAGGTCAAAATAGGTTATCGATGGCGTAAACGACAGCCTAACCTATAAAAAATTTCATAACCTAAACCTAATAGGTTAGGTTTAACCTACAGGGCCCTAAGATCAATCTCATTGTGTAGAGCTCGTTACATTGAGTATAAAAACTGAAGGAACATGCTTTTAATGGTACTAACCAGTATAAAACCAAAATATTTCCTTTTTTCCATACAAAAATAGATCGAGAGCGTGAGTCAACAAAAATAGGTGACTTCACTTTCGCTCCGAGAATAAAATTGAGACTTTATGTGTGCTTTCACTCAACTCAACGAGATAGGTCTGGTCGCTGACGTCAAGGTCGATTTCAAAATGGTGCGCGCTTCAGATGGGCTTACCCGTAAGAGTGGGTTAGGATAAATACTCTTTAACATGGCATTATTGGTTTTATTATTTTCATTTGAAGACGATGATCTCTTTGCTAATGACTATAGAATTTTGATGGAATTATCGACGATAGCTTGGCTGACTGCAAAAGAGAAAAACTCCACAAGTTATTTAGGTCATTTCATATACCGGATACCTCTCCTGTTGTTTTGTTTCCATTATCGATCTTCTTGCTTTTCCTGATTTAACTTTAACAAAACGCTTTATTCGACGGCGTACAATTCGTTTTACATTTGTAACTGAACTGCTAAAATTTATATTTTTACCACCAAAATCAAAATTTTTTCCATTACGTTTTGTAGTTGGTGTTACTGCTTGTCCCGATTTTGTATTCAGAAACTCATCGATGTCTTCTTCTTCGGATGATTGTGTTATACACGATGGAATAGTAGGCGATAAAGCACTTCCTACTGAGAGAGCTTCCGAGATATCAACATCACTTTCTAGAAGTGAGAGAATATTCGTTAAATCCGTGTAACCATCTAAATTAATAAAAATAAAATAACTAATAGTTTCGATGAAGAAGAATATGTGCTAATGTATTTCTGAACTTAGGTCAAGCACAACGATCTGTTACCGCACCAATAACTAACTGTTAATCCTTTATATACAGCTCATTAAAGGCAACTGTTTCATATTTCAATTTTTTTCACCATCCTGTGGTCGTTTTTATACCGTTAGTTGACAGCAAAAAAGCCAAGGGGAAAAAAGCGCACTCCGCCATCCCAGCCACTCCTCGGAGTAAGCCGCACTCCATAGCACTCCGGCACTCCGTACAATGGTCCGGAGTGGCGAAGTGCGTTGTTTTCTTTTAAAATAAAATAGTGATATTTCTCTCAATATTCTTCGCCCAAAACGGAACAATCCGATTCCCGAAACAGAACAGGCATGTTCCCAGAACAGAACAATCCGGTACTTTCCTCGGGGAAATTTCCCAGATAACGGGACAATTGTCTTCTGTTCTGTGAATTCTTTTCCCACAGACAGAACGTCTTTGTTCTGCTTGTAGGAACAGAGATTTCTGGGACAGTTCAGTTCAATAAAATTTCTGAAGCCCGCGGTACTCCGAGCCGCTCCAAGCCACTTCGGGCACTCCGGCAGTCCACGGAGTGCGCTTTTTCCCCCTTGGGAAAAAGCACTGTCAACTAACGATGAGCTTTGATCTGTAGTGTATAATGATCACTGATATTCTCGAAAAAATTAAGAAAATTTTCCCTTTCTCGGACACTTAAGTGGTACACAATGAAAGATACCTTAGATATTCATGCTAGTGTCACAGCCCTAGAATAGATACTTATGGCAAAGCCCGAAAAATTAGAAAACTTGAGAAAATATAAAAGGAATGTTTTTGAAGAGTCACAGATAATTATTTCTAGAAAACGTCCATAGGTGAAAAAGAACTTCTCAAAAATGTAAGCAGATCATTTTCTTACGGAAGAAAAACGACCCAAAAAAGAAATCGATGAGAGTAGTGTAGAAACGATTAACGCGAGGTTTATGAAGCGTTAACTGTTCGTTAATTACACCGTTTTTGTCAGCCTGAAAATTTATTACTTGATTCGTCTATTCCCGATGCTGTGTTGTGTTTAGGACTTCTACTAAGCCAATCTTGATCAGCTTGTTCTTTTTTATTTGTTCGATCTGAACTATCAGATGATGAATGCCTCTGTCGATCAGATTTGGTCGTATTGCACTTCTCTAATCGTGATAATTGACTTGAATCGAATAGAATTCGCTCGGATTTTGCCAGATTAGCTAAGTTCAAATTTGATGATAGTTGTTCAGTTGAATGCACATTTTCTTTTAGTTTCGGTTTCTGTTTTCTAGCCTTCTCATCTGCATCAGAACGTATAGAAAACGATAAGCCATCATCTTTCACCTTATTCTCCTTATTAATAGATTTTTCACTTGGTGTTTTGTTGTCTTCGGATTTTTGCCTATTATTATCGGTACTTCGTGATCCAACTAAATTGACCACTGGCGTAGAAGAGCAAGTTATCTCTGATTTCAAATCACGAGATTCATCCGTATCTGATTTTCTGCCTAAAATAAAACAAAATGGAGTTCAGAAATGACATATATGATGATTAGCAATGAAAACTATTAAAACTGCTTCGTTATATCGCGCGTTTTACCGGCTTCAAGTATGTTTATTCAAAACAACTACAGATCACTTTTCTCTATACTATGTACCGTCAAACTGCTGACTTCGACCATCATCGCTTTTAGATGATCGTGCACGTCGCATACTTGATGATGAATGGGCGTTTAACACATTATCAAAATATGTTTCTGCATCGAATAGTGTAACTGCATGATCTTTTTTTATGTTCTCATCCACACTAATACTTTTATTTCGATCATCATCTGCTAAAACTTGCCGTGTTAGACTTGGAAGGTTTTTTGAATTTTTTTGCACCGGGGAACTTTTACATTGTTGTAAGTGTTGAACGGATATTGGAGTTACCTGTTGTTGTGATAGTTGAGCTTGTGATTGTTTTACGAGCAAAATATTACATTTATGAAAAACTGATGAGGCAGGCAGACATTCTTTTATCTTAACCGCATCTCCAAACGAAGGTGAGATTTCTCTATGATCTAAATGGGATGAAATCAGTGTTAGTATACATCATAAATACAATTAATATGGATAGTCAGAGTGTTCTTGAAACTGCAAGTATCTGTGAAGAACGAAAGTACTAAATAATGCAATCTCCGTCGTAGAAAACCTATAGTTAAATAATATGTGAGTAATTAGCATTCTACAAAAAAGAAAACATTCTTGACGCTTTTCTTAATTTTTCTTCGAACTTGCCTTTTACTGCTTTAACTAATGGTAAATTCTTCTTTTTATCATTCAAATCATTGTCATCATCCATTCGGTGGATTTTGGGTCCCGATATGCTGTAAACATTTTTTACAGCCGTTTTGCTAAGTGGAGATCCACTATTATCGTCTTCAAGTAGCTGATACTCAGTATTGTTATTGTTCTCTTTCATTTTCTGTTTTGGACGGCTTAATGCGTACGCAACACTACCTATGACTATGGCTCCTAAAAAAGCACCAAAGAGCAGCAGTGGCCACCACAAAAAGATCCCTTGAGCTGCAGACGCAGACTAAAAAGAAAAAATAATTTCTAAAATGCACAAACACATCAAAAAATCAACTCTCTACTAACTTCAAGAGCAGTGGGGTTAACAACTGGCACCATTGAATCATCAGCGATGATAGGAGGAACCAGTACGCGAGGTACTGATAGTTTAAGACGATTCCATGGACGAAAGTCTGCAGAGGGACGAGTAACGATTGCATCAGAGACAGCCGTCCTAAAATAAAATATAATGCTTAACAACACAGTGAGTTAGCTAATGATTAGTGATAAGCGCTCAAAAAATATAAACAAATAATGGCGATATGCGAGATCAACTAGAAAAACTACCACTTTTGTTTACAGAAGAAATACTTCGATCAACTCCTGGTAACCAATGTATTATCAAAATGGATTCCTCAATTCTTAACAGAGTATAGTTATTATTGTGTCCTTCTGCTTGAAAACTTTTCTAAGATCAGTAAAAATATTGTATTAGCAATATAAGTTTATAGTCGAAAAGAACATATCCGCAGGCAATATCATAGACATTCTTTCAACTCTTGGTAGCATGTCGGTTTGTTACCTCATTTTAAATCACTTACGAACTTCTTTTGTCATGACTATAATCAACGGACATTATTAAGTGCAAGATACACGCATGCTAACTAATTTATTTGTTGATATAGTATCAATGATAATATACAACTAATCACACCATGAAATTCGACATAATAAATTTTTAAATACATTTATAGATATCTAATATAGAACAGCAATTTTTATTCAAGTACTTGCATCATTCGATATGACGGTTGTGTAGCTTTCTCGATAGGTGAAATAACAGAAATTACATATGAACACAACTAAAGCAGATCAGATAATGTAGCGTTTTATGCTATTACCGGATAAAAGTAAAATAAAAAACTTCCAATTATTTTCATAGTCATCGACGAAAAAATGAAACTCAGTTAGACTAATTGTTTTAACCGCGCCAACAGAAGCTCAATTATAATAAAAACAATTTATCGCTGCAAAACATTGACCAAAAAAAGTTAACCTGCACAAGTAAAAAAGTTCAAAAAGTTTAGCATAAGAAATTTTAGGAGAAGATGCACTGTTACGTTTATTAGATCAAAGTGATATAAGATCTTGATTAAAACGTAATTACTTAATTAAAAGAAAGTCCATGAAATTCTAATCAATATAGTATTGTTGAAAAAATTGAAAATATTGGTACGATGTGGGAGGTAAGGCACATATACGTTAGATCTAATATTGGATGAAATACATCCAATATGTAATTTGAGAAGAAGATGGAAATTGTTTGCTCTGTATTCCATGTAGTTTGCACTGAATGATCATAGTTCTTTCAAAAAAAATTAGCTCATTGTTCACTCGATTATGCTCTAAAAAAAAGGCTATGGTTATGTTGTGAATAGGATGAGTGGTAACGGTAAAAAACTTTTTTACCGAAGTTTACCCCGGTAAAATTTTGATTTTTTTTACCATAATCCAGTAACAGTAATAAAATTATTTTTACCGAAATTCTATTTCCATTTTACTACTACTATTTTGAATTTTTGACAATTTACGTTAGAATATTAAACCAGATATAGTGAAGTATTCAATGTTTCTGAAAGATAAACTGTGGAGGGAAGTATCGAAACTTTTTGAATGTTTCTCATCAGAGATCATCGCAGGGCAACTTTTTTCGCCCTGTCCTGTCCTGCAGCCTTGCCCTGATCTGTCAGAAAATTACTCATAAAAATTTTTTGGCCCTGCCCAGCAGTGCAAAAGAAAGTTTTTCTCCTTACCCTAGAAGACTTTATCTTCAAGAAACTCATCACAAATACTGAATGTGTTTCTCGTACGTAACAGAATCTTTTTTTTATTAATTATCAATTTTAGAAAAGTTGGCTGTCAGTTTTATTTTCATATATACGAGAGATCTCAAAATTTTACTTAAAAAGAAGCTTGAAAATCTCAGAAAACAATCTCTCTTAGGATCAAAGAATTTTTTGTTGCCCTGTCGTGCAACAGGGCAGGACAGAGCAGGACCAGGCGGCAGGACAACAGGACAGTCCTGTCTTGCGATGGTCTCTGTTTCTCATTCATGTTAACTTGTTCTTTTCCGTGAATAAACCTATTCAGCGTAGTTTAAAAAACATAATCTATATACATTATCAGAAACTCTGTAGTCATCGGTAACTTACCGTCTGTAATGGTAAAAACTTTTTTTACTGAAGTTTACTGCCGTAAAAGTTTGAGATTTTTTACCGGTTTGGAATTATCGTGGTAAAAATCTGAAAGTTGTTATCGAAGCATCGAAGCATACTGCTCATCCCAATTGTGAAGTTTGAACAAAAACTGTATAGAAAGTCTTCTGACCTATTTGTATCAAGGTTAATCAAAATAATACTCATGGATCTACTGACAGTTTAAAAGAAATGCTGTATCATATTAATCTGACTCTTTAGAATACTATCTATTTGATAGATATTAGTCATAAATACTATAAATATTTTTGCTCACAAATATTGGCTAAGGTTAAATAAACAGCTGTTCTGCTGCATGTAGCGCCAATTTTCCAATGTAATAATCGAAAGAATAGCAAATTATCATTACATTATTCTTATCACGCTAAATGAACATATCACCTACTTTATGCTACCAAGTTCATTTCTACAATTTGTTCACCTTGTATTTTTGATAATACAGTAACGTCCTTAAGTTGTCAGATAAAATGTATCCTTGAATATGAAAAATAATTTTTGTTTAACAACATATTGAATACAATAGACTAAAAGTGCTAAAATTCTTGTTGTTTTCTATTGATTACCTTGTAGTATGTGTTTTGATAAATTATCCAAGGAGATACTATAGTATAAATTATTGTTACATGTTTCATTAATCCGTACACTTCAATAAAACAAAAAAATGATAAATCTATTTTTTTCGTTGACGTTATTTGGTGTGGTGAGTATGGAAAATTTTTGTTCTAAAACGTACATTAAAATGTTCGAAACATTGAATGATTCTCCAAAATATAAAATATTTTGGATTCTTTGATAAAAGTGGCATTTACGTAGAGTGAACGTTGTTCTTAAGCTAAACAACTTTTTTGATAAATTGGGATTTTTTTTGCACACTTAGTAATGAAAATTCAACATCTCAGTGTCATATATCACGGTGAACGATAGGCAACGATTTGAATGTTGTTTTCAGTTTTACAGAAGCTAGTTCTAGCATGAAGAGTAGCACTAAGTGTTTTTCGTTTTTCTTATGGAAAAAATATTTTTTGTTTACTTAGGTATTACAGTTGGTAACAGCTTTACCCCCAAAATCTCATGTAATAGTAGCATCGAACAAAGGACATCGTGGTCATCATACATCAGAAGCAGAAAAAAACTTTTTGTCTTATGGCAGTCATGTATTGAAAAATGGAAAAATTCTATCACAACCAGTAAGTCTAAAACTAATTCGAACTCCTTTTTTATAATAATTAATATTGTCTGTTGTTCAGATCGTACGTCCAATTCCAGTGGATCAGTTGACACTACCATTACAACTTGATGATATTGGTAAACCATTTGTTTTACAAGGTGATATTTTAATACCATTGAATGGAAAAATCAATAATAAATTAGCAACAGTGGCACATTTATTGTGGAAAAATGGTTCGTTATCAAAATCGTCATTAAACAGGTTAATAAAAAAAATTTATAATACACATTAAATGTCGAAATCGATGTAAAAAACCAAGCAAATTCTTCTACATTACATAATAAACTTTTACTTGTTTTTATGGAATAAAACAGGTAAGCTTTCGCTAATAAATGCGATGGCAATGCATATAAACTGTCTGTCGATATTCAAAATAATAACTTTTCTCTGCTTGTGTTACTAATATGTAACACAAATCGCAATCCAAAGTATAATTGTCTCTTTTATGTGCAGAATAGAATAGAAAAAAAAAACACCTACATTTTCGAATATCTCATGAAGTAAGATTTGACAGGCAATTCAAACGTCAAAACATGGAACTCTATTGACTATTAGCGTTAAAACAATATCAAAATTTTTTAATGATTGAGAAAATTAACCGTTCATATGAATCAACTAGAGAACAAAAAGCAAGTTAACAATTTTAACACTAAATATTGTTAATTCAGACTAAAACGAAAAATTATCAGTGAAATTAATGCAAATGGTGAGAGTCAGCGGTGGCCAAGATCAGTGGTACCTTATGAGTTTCAAGACAATATAGGTAATGATAATTCTATACAAAATGTGAATTTCAAACAGTTTCGATTTTCTTTTCTCTTTTGCAGATCCACAAGCAAAACAGAATGTACTTTCAGCCATGCAACACTGGCATGAACGTACATGTATTCGATTTGAACCGTATAACGCAGCAAAACATCGGGATATTTATTCTAAAATTGTTATTCAAGATAATGGACCAGGGTGAGTGTAAAAAAGAAAACATATATATTGTGCTTCGTACAGGACATTCTACTTTTGTTGATGTATATTATTCAGTTGTGCATCCTACGTTGGCTATCGTCCTGGTTCAGATGGCTTCGTATTTTTAAGTACAGTATTTTTACCTGTCACTTGTCCCTTTGGATCAGCTGTACACGAACTCGGTCACGTTATTGGATTTTATCATGAAATGTCGAGAACAGATCGTGATCAAAATATTTTGCTATATTTTAATCGAATGAGTCAAATAGAAGCATCACAATATGATATTATGCCTGATCCACAACCGAACTATTATGGACAACCATATGATTTATATTCAGTGATGCATTATTATGGAACGGTAATTAAATTATATGTATGATATGATTATAAAACTCTCGTTTTTCGCTTCAGGATGTAATGTTGGCGAGAGATTCTCGTCGAGCTTTTCTTATGGGTATTATTATATTCAAAAAAGACTCACACACATATCCTACTCTCTCTACCGTTCAACTATGTTTAAAAGAATACGAAGATATTTTATATGAATATTATTTAATCGTATAGGGATGTCATTTTTAGATATTAAACTGGCCAATCTTGGATATCATTGCGGAGGTATAGGAGATTGTCTAAAACTTTATACTAAATATAATGATGAATCTATTTGATCTTTTCAGATAAGTGTAGTGGAAAACCAATATGTGAAAATGAAGGTTACATAAATCAAAATTGTCGTTGCTCGTGTCCTGACGGATTTAGTGGTTATCAATGTAATATATTGATGGATGTACAAGGTTTGTTTACTCGAGCAAAATGGATCTATATACTCAGTTTTTATTTTTGTGATTATAGTACCTAGTATAGGAAAATCAGTTTCTCATATAAATAATGCTCAGCCTCATGTCACGACATTATCATCATCACGTAAGACGAAAAATCTTATTTTCATTTTGAAAAAATCACAATTGAATTTATTTTTGTTTTATAGATAATGACTGGCTTCCATGGACACCGTGGTCGATTTGTAGTGAAACATGCGGTAAAGGTGTTCGAGTTCGAACACGAGTTTGTCCTGAAGGTGCAAAATGCTCAGGATCGTCATTTGAAATAGAATCGTGCAAAAGTTCTTCCTGCAAAGGTATATGATGTGTTTTTCGGTTTAATACTGAACTTTTATTTCTTATATACCGATGAAACCACCACTTAATCATAGCATTATGTCAGTAAAATTTTGGACTTAGCATTTTTTTGCCAGTCAATACGCTCAGACAGTTCCTAAAAAATACTTGAACTCAGTTTACACTTCAACAAATTAAGAGCAAAATTTCTCATTTTCTTTGATAAACTGCATTGTTCTTCATATTGATTTTTATAAGAAATTTAATATGTCTGAAGAAAGGTGAGGCAAGATATCTGGAAACTATTTCTGATTTTGGTATCGTACTGAATGTTTTATTCGTACTCTGCGCCATCTATAACTCCAGAATGAGTATACATGATTGAATAGCAATTTTTACCATAATCTTTTCATATGACAGACTATAATAGTAAATGTTTGTTTCGAATTAGTTGCACGATCTAGCATAGAAAGAAAAGGTTTGCACAAGAGATTTTCTTAAAACTATCCATCCTAGCCGGTTCCACAAGATGAGAAGAATATTGTGCTCAGTCTTATCGTTGCTCTCTTAAAACGCAAGTGGACTAAAATGCCTTAATCGATTATGTATTTTTTTTTCATTTAAGGTAGAAGGCAAAAACGTCAAATACGAAGTACTGTAGTTAACTGTTATACAAATTATTCTTGTATTTCTGTAATTTTTCCTTTTTTCGAAGGTTGTACGAGAGTTATCGATATTACAAGTCGATCACCTGTTGCTATAACGTCACCCAATTATCCGTCTGATTATCAATCAAATCTTGAATGTTATTATTATATTCGTGTACCACAAGGATATAAAATATCTCTACAATTTGCTGATTTTAACCTACCAACAAACACCGGAGTTTGTCAAGATAATGTTGAATTACGCTATTATCACTTAGGAATGCGACGTGACTGTTGATTATTCTAAATAATATTAAAGTATTTTTTTTTTATCTTTTTTAGGTCAACCAGGACCACAATATTGTGGCGACAGTTCCGGTGATGATAATTTCAGTTTTTTGAGTACAAAAAATTATATTATGTTGATATTTCGAACAAATCAAGATACTTTAAGTGGACGTGGTTTTAGCGCAATGGCTCAAGTTGTATAATTAGTGAGAATTTTATTTTGTACATAGTTGATATGTATATTTATAGTCATGTGTATATTTTTGTTGTATAAGCAGACGTTGTTTATATATATATATATATATATTTGTATATTCTTCATTATTTTATTATTATTATGTATATATGATATGAACGACAGCCTTTAATAAATACGAAATTTAATTGTGGCATTCTTAGAAATGCAATTGAGAGTTCTAAGTAATTGATTTTATATCTATAAGCGTCAAAAACTTGATTGTCATCATTATATACAAACTGAAGTATGTACATATATAGACTACACTGTTGTTATTGTTGTTGTTGTTGCCGCCGACAATAGTAAAAGAAAATCAATTTATTACTGAACAAAAGAAAAAAAAAAAATTTATTAAATATATTAATTTTTTATTGTACGAACTGTTACATAGTTTAATAATAAAATCACAAGTTAAGTTGTTATATTATCTTTTAACAGTAGATGATTCGAATGATGAATGTTACAATCTGTCGAGAAAGGTACGATATCAAACTGATTTTTACAATAAATAATAATATTATAAATATTATGTTATCAATAATTTTTGCAGCAAACTCACACACTCTATTAAAATATGTAATCTTCACAAATATTGTTGTGTATTAGAACATCTTTTAACAGTTTTACAATAAAACTTGATAGAGAAAGACATTTTCTTTATTCAAAAGTTGTATAGCCTAGAGTAAAAGTATTAACGAGACTAGGGGGTGAAACACTCTTATAGAAATGTGCTAAATTTTATAAAACTTCGTGATCGAAACTGCATTTTTCAATACTAACAATAAGATTAGAAAACTCGTACGCATTAAATTTATTGTTATTTGTGACGACTATATAAATAAATGAACGAGAGGTTGATAAATCTTTTAAATTTGTTGACCCCTTGTCTGATTCGAGTCACTTTTTTAAACTGAAAGTTAACTACGGATCTTTTTTTATGCAAAAATCATCGTGAAAAGTATTAAATCTGGAACAATAATAGTTATTTGTCTCCAGCTGTCAATGTTTTATATTTTTTTATCAATCTATTTTCTTTTTTCGATCAATCAAACAAATATTTTCATCTTAAACATTTATTCAAAAAAAACAATTAGCCTCTAAAAACATTATATGAAACGTCTCATTAGAAGCAGCCAATTTTCATACTGGTAAAGGTGTTTTTATCTCTTCTCATATATTCTTCCCAATGATTCCTTGCGACAAAAAGATGGAAAACAAAACGAAAATTCGAAGTCCAGAAAAAAAATGACTCGAGCCTTTCACTGCAAGTACAATTGGTGGCTAGGAAGAAGAAGTAGGAGAATACCCCGCCTTTTAGCTATCTTGCGGTATAGGGTGCTGTCCGGAGACAGTTTCGTAAGCCCGATATCTTCCCCACAACTAATACTAGTTGTAGCTCTGGACAAAAGACTAACCTGACTCAGAGTACTTTCAGTCAATCGCTTGAGCTCCCCGTACACACTGACTAACCGCATACTAGCTACGAGGGCTGGTGTATGTCACAACGTAGTCAGCATGCTATCGGACGGGTGATCCGAGGTAAACAATCGTTAATTCCAAGTCTGGAATGACCGCCCAGGGTCATTCCAGGTCTGGTGGCGCCGAGGCTCGAACACAGTATCTTGGGAGTACGTGCCATACAACTTAACCACACAGCCATAGTGGATTCGTGACTAGACTTGTGCGCCGCGCCGTTGCCGCTGCGGATGGATAATTAGGATTTTTGGTGCTGCTGCCGACAGAAAAAAATTTTGGAATAAAAGAGTCATGAGAAATTAGAAAAACAGGAAGTTATATTGTAATTAGCCCGGCAGCTGACGATGGAAAAATTTCAAAAAAGTCTTTTAGCCGTCGCCGAAGGCGGAAAATTTTTTAAGGAGGCTACGCCACCGTCATCGATCGGAAAACTTTTGTTTCACGCCGCCATCGATTTCTTCACCGACGTACAGGGTCTATTCGTCACTCGAATTGGTACAGCTCACATATCAGCGACTTTATTAGATATTCACTTACACTCTCATCTACTAAGACTAATGCTCTTAGGAAACTTAAGATATATACTGAAAAAACAACTGTAGAAACTGTTCGAAATTTGTATCATCTTTTCCCTAAATCAGTACGATTCTAGATATGACTACAAACGATTGACAAACTTGAACAAGAAAGTGTATAAGAACAGAAAGAAGATAGCACTAAACCTTCTTTCGTTTGACTTACTCGACTTAAAAAAATATATTCTTTGAGCATTATCTTTGTTTGATTAAAATCAAGTATAGTTCAAATTTCTTTACAAATTCTAAAGATCATGTAGCGCTGAAGAGGTATTGTATTTCAGCTTGTCAATAGTTTAAAGAAAGTTGAAGAAAAGATTATTTGTTCCTTGAACTTAAATTCATTTTTAAATTCAAGTTCATTATAATAAAATGCCTGGTAACTAAAATATACACTTCTGACATATGTTCGAAATCAAATAAAATACAAAAACTTATATAAGTAGCTGAAGAATAGAAGTGAAAGGGGCGTATATACGTACAGTTGTAATATTTAGTAAAATGACTTCATTCTAATCTTGCTTTTAAAATGTATAGAGCATAGTAATAATGGTTGAATTATATGATCAAAGTTCATGACAGAATAAAACTTAAACAGATAATCAGTTGGTACTTAAATAGAACAAAAATTTTTTGGCGGATGCACAAATTTAGCAAAAATATCAAACAAAAAAGAAAAATATTTTATTTATTATATCTTAAAATTCTTTATTTCTAACGAGTAAGTTACACTTATGTACTATCTGTTTGAATTTAAGAGAACTTTTAAGAATTCTCATCATGATTTAGACTGAATAAAAAAGAAATGTTCTTATTTGACACTCTTTTCAAAAGAAAATATTTTACCTCAAAGTAGAACATACAATAAATGTCATAATCATAATTGTTCAGAATATTTAGAAATAATAAATAAAAAAGTTTCTAAATATAGGCATGATTAACAATAATATTTAATTTTAAGATAGTGATGGTAAATCTATATTCAATTATTTGTTATTTTTTGATAAGTGTCTAATTAAAACGATAAATAAGTGAGATTAACTAGAAGAAAGAAAGAAAAGAAAAGAAAATCGACTTCAACTTTTATTGTTGTAATTTTAAAAAAAGAAAAAAAAATTCAGTTATTATATGTCATATTTTTGATGGATTAAATTTTTCTTTTTTTTTTCTCTCTAGTGTTTAAACAGTAATACTTGCGTTAGAAGAATGACAAAAAGTTCCTTCTAAGTTTTCAATGGTAGTGGCAGCTGTTCAACAAAATCAACAAAAGCATTCATCATCATTGAAACGGTATCAAGAAGAAGAAGAAGAAGAAGAAGAAGGAGAAGAAGAATTAAAATTAAAATTAAATAAAGTTCAACAATCAACAGTAAATAAATGTGACACTAGTCAAACAGTCGACCATTGTTCTTCTTCTTCTATTACATCATTATCTGCACAACATTTTAATTCAGAATCAACCGGATTTCAACAAAGCAATTTAAAAAAAAATTCATCAAAAGATAAAATCAAAACAAATCTGTGGTCTCAAAGTGCATATCCAAAATTTAGAAAACTAACAGCGAATATGGAAATTCATCGACAACGTTTTTCACAATTAAATCCACATTTCGAAAGATTTTTTCAATATAAAACTACTGCTAATCCCATACAACAGTCCCTGTCAAACGACAATGATTTTCAAACCATTTATCCACAAATTTCATCGAATATTCCACGTCCACCTCAGCGACAAAAAGCGCGCTCACGACAACAAAATAATCATTTTTTCTCTTCTCAAAAACAGCAGTTGCTGAAAGTTGATGATGGCGATTACCAACAACAAGAGCACAAACCTATACCTACTTTTCGACGCTATAATTCAGCAACAAAACTAGATTATTCTGATATTAATAGTAATAAAAAAGAGTGTATTACATTGGCTAATTTAACAAAAGTGCTTCATATATTACAAAATCGCGCGACAATAGGTGAAACAACGGCAAAAAGTAATTCGGATAAAAGTGATACAACAACAACTAGTAGTCAATCATCAGTTAAACAGCGTGTTCAACAACATTTACAAAATACAGCATCAAGATGGTGGAAACAAGGAAGATCATCAACGACAATGATGATTCCTACTGATCAAAATACAGCACCATCATCCGCCACTATACAACAACAACACGAACAACCGCAGGATTTTTTACCTGTTCTAGTAAGTTAATCGAGAAAGAAATTATCTTATAAACGCAGGGAATATCTTATTTTAATTTTGTATTTCATTTATACTTCAGACGATTGTTAATGCTAATCATCCTATTTATCCGCAACATCCACCTGCTCGTTCAAAATCGAGTAGGAGATTTTCATCCCGTAAGACTCCAACAATCTCCACGAATATTCATCCAGCAATTACACCCATCCCTTCTACTAATGTTATACATTCAAAGGGTGCTACTATTCAACAACATCAAGAGCCACTAATAATGTCTACAAAAGGAGTTCGATTACATGCAACTAATCAGCAGCTGTTGAATTATATTCAACGACAACGATTAGTTAGACAACCTTGAGTGAATATGAACACAACTTTAATTTATACTCAATTTTATTATCAAATGCTACTGTTTCGATTAATTTTTCCTGTAAATATGACTATATACACTTATTGTTACATATCTTTATTCATCAATATGACACAATCAAATTTCTATTATTACGTTTTTTTCAAACTTTATAGTGAACGACACATGCCAATTTTTTTATTTTCGGTTTTTTTTCTCTTTAATACAGATCTTTTTTCTGTACACAGACTCCAATGATGTGCCTAATTGGACTACACTCCCCCCCCCCCAGACGATCATCATAGTCTTCTATTGTGGGAAGAGGAGCTATAAAAGATTGAGAGATATTGACGCAATCCAAGAGTATTGTACAACAAATATTTTTAGAGAAAGTTGATTTTTTGATTTTCAACTAACGATTTGAAATTATAGGGATAAGTGATTTTTGTAGAAAAAATATACAAAATCACACTGACTTTTCTATGATCTTGGACTGGTTGAATTTTTGTCTTAAAATTACGCGGTTTTCGTTCGCTATTGCGCTTTACTGAAATATCGCTAAAGATGTTCTCAGTAGATTTTCTCTGAAAAACAGGGATTACGGTATTTGAATTTGACCTACGACGTATGTGTTCTTTGATTTTTATACGTTAATAAAACAATTGATGTATGCCCTCATCCTGCCAGCCTTTCACATAGTCGAACTTTCAGCACAACCAAAGAATTGTAATCATAAACACTTATAGCAAGTGAACAATGTGACCTTGGCCAATTTTCAATTTCTTCTTCTCCAGTGCTCTTGATAATGAAAAATATTCTTTCGAAACGTTGAGTGAATAAATAATAAAATATTATATGATAAAAGATGAATCTTAAAACAGCTGCTAATAGCATTATAGCTATATTTTTTCCACCTGCTTCTACCACTGAGATAAGACAAGTCTATGAACGAATTTATAGTAAGGACAAGATAAACTAAAATGAGAATGACGCCGACACTATCAACGTTCGTATATCTTCGCTACATTAAAACTATAAAATGACTTGCCATTGGATGCAAAAATGAGGAACTGACTAATGAAAATTGAAAATTCTTTTTTGTAAAAATGAATTCAATTAGACAAATCCAGGTGACTTTTAATTCACCTGTTTCTAACACCGTGTTGTTTACCATGTGTGGGAAAGTGTTATTTAAAAACTTGTGCAAAAAGTAAAGGTTTTCAAAAATCGAGCGTTGTTTTTCTGTTAAATCTAATCATTACTTCCGATAAATATCATACAATATAGATTGGATCGATTATTAAAGAAAATCAAAAATATTGATGATTATCTCCAAACAGCATCAAACATATGTTAATAAAAAATGAACTCTACACAAAATAAAAGTACTCATTTTTGCTAGTTACAAATATATGCACACTTTTATTCAAGAGAGTGTTAGACAGAAAATTTCGTATTATCCAATTACGTTTTATCAGCCACATAACTTTTCCTACTTCGATGTGGTCTACATTTCAAAAACTGTTGTAAGCAAACTGCGTATGTGTATAGAATCGGAACCCCTTTTATGCCGAACTTAATTTGATTACCTTACATACTTCAATGTTAGTATTTTGTTTGAGAGAAATAGAGTGTTTTATTGTTATCAAGAACCGAATGTTGTGTCGTGCAAAATACTTCAGTAAAGCCACGCTTGGATTGCAAAAGAGTTGGTGAAGTTTATAATTGATGAAATACAAAAATTATTGTGAGATCTAAGAGAACAATATTTTCCGAAGTTCACTGGGCGAACTAGAAGTTCCCTAGGCTTATGAAATGAGACTTGAAAATATACACAATTTTTGTTTCATTCTAGAATTTTTTCTTCAACATTGCATGTGACTTTTTGAACGTATGCAGAAACTGCATCAAATTATTAATCACTTGCTTTTAACAAATCATTCGATTGACAGCATCGATAAAATTAGTGATAGTATTCAAATAAACAAAGACGATCTGATTGTGATAATTAAGGATGATCAATACAACGATTATTTTCAGTTACTACGAAAAAATACACCAAAGAATTCAAGTAGTTCAGATAAAATAGCACTTACTCTTGATGTATGTTAAAGACACAATTGTTTACGACCTTAATTTGTAAATATTTGTTTCATTCATTTAGCTATATGCATGTACACAATATGCAAAAGAGTGTAAAAATGTCGATTGTCAATATCTTCATTTATGTCCATATATGGTGAAACCACAGTACGAGAGATGTACAAATAAAAGTTGTCAGTTCGAACATGATATTCAGAAAAGTGAACATAATCAAGCAATAGTAGCAAAAAGAGGTTTAATGCAGTTTCCGGCTAATATGTTAAAAGAAATTGTTCGAGCATCAAATAATCCAGAACGATCAGTAAGAAATGAAGACATTTTTCAACAACATAAATGAAGTATATGTGTATTGTTAACTATCACTATATCTACATAAAACACACTCTCGTGAGCCAGTTCGTATTAACAATAGTGTCATACTTAATGTGAGACGTTAATCAGAAAGAGTATGTAGGTTTAGCTTTGCTAAAAACAAGGCTTCTCACTTTTCAACGGTGTACGTGACCGACTACCTATTTCATATTCAAGAGAAAATATTATTCATTGATTCTTTCCAGTTTTGGATTTGTCATGATTATGGACGGAAAGATGGTTGTCCAAACAAAACTACTTGCACCAGGTCAATAACATAACATTTAGTTATATTTCGCGTTTAGTTACGTTTATCAATCCATTTTAGACTTCATTATTGTTTTTTTGGGTTAAGTCATCAGTGCACAAAATTTCAGTGCGATCATACATTGAATTCAGAATGTACCGGCTATTTACGAAGAAAACAAATCTATGATGCAAATGTAACGGATATTCTAGACGCGTTTCGAAAAGTAGCCAAACAACGGTAAATTTGGAATTTTTATTATAAAAGAATAAAATTGTAATCTTGTTCATGTTGTATTTAAGAAATTCAAATTATTTAGCAACATTGACTGCAAATTCGCATACAACAGCTACCTCAAAAAAATCGTCATCTACAATCTTGTCACAAACAACAACAACAATAAATAAGTAAGTGGAGAACTAGTCAGCCTAAATACAACAGGAGTCTTCCAGAATTTTCTGTGCAGTTTGGAAGCTGAATCACCACAGTCATCAACAGGTGATCATATTGAAATCGAAACAGATGAAGACAGTTACATAGAGGATTTATATCCGTTGGCTAATCAAGGTAAAATTGAAGACAAGTTATCAACAGCAATTGGTTGTCCAATTAAATTATGTCTCGCAAAAAGAATATCAAACAAAGGAAAACAAAATCAATTTGAACTGTATGTTTTTATTTTTCTATGCTTATGTGTCCAAATATTTTTGCAATTAGATGAAAAATAAAAGACTCAATCATGCGCAACAAATTTTAGTTGATTATCAATAAATTCTTAACGTTTCTTTTCAAAACTTGAAATCAAATTTCATATCAATATTTAATTTTACTTTGTTCTAGCGCTCATCAATCAAGTAAACAAACTAGTAATTTAAAGTCTATGTATTGTCCAATTGAAAAACCAAGTGATATTCTCGATTATATACGTTGGCAAAACTCAAGTCAAACAGGAAAACTCAGTTCTTTATTGATATATGCAAATATTCAAGACGCTCATGATAACACAAAACAACAATGTGACAATGATCAATTTTGTTTACTATGTGTAAGAGTATTAAACACCAATAATCAATATAAAAATGATCAAAATGAATTAAAAATTACAAATCCAAATTTGATTATGTTCCAAGAACTATGGTTGTATAAATATGATATATTCTAACATTCATCAACTGTAGCCACGCTATAAATTCAAGTTTTTACTAGAGTAACTGACATTTCAGTGATTTTAGTAGCTAGTCAAACAGAAAAGTGGGTGACTGCCTTTTACTTCTCATTCTTTTACATGATTGAATATTTTTGTTATTAGAGATCTACATCAAGTTCTCTACTTGCTATATCAAAGATTGCCATTTACGTTTTTTTTTTGTATCAATTCCAATTTTATATTTCTACTGGAAAATCTATGCACAATTCTACAACTGAATGAATTCTAGTGTATTGTCTATATCTAACTTGACATTTTTTTGTTTTTATAGCATGAAAGCTGACATTTACTTTTTGTCTTTGTCATATAGTGCTGTCATTTCGTACATGATTAACTGTGATATTTTAATTTCTTATCCACATTATTGATTTTTTTTCTACAATTAATGAATTATTTTATATAATATATCTATGTTAAAACAAATCAAACAAGCGTCTTGTAGACGGAGAGAAATGAATCTTTCAGGACTATGGTACGAATACTTTGATACATTCTGAATTATGCTCAGCTCACCTGGCATTTCCTTTTCAATCTCTTTTACACATTTTGAAAACTAGAGGTCGCAATCAACGTTTACTATAAGGGATTTGACACAATCCTGCTGATTCGCAAGAATGATCACTAAAATTTTTTCCGTGCGTGGCTTATAAACTCGAGTAATTTTGTGTTCAAGAAAAAGTCTTGTGGCGTTCAAACGATAGGATCAAAACATTGTTGACAATGAAAAGCATTTCATATTCCATTCTTGCTTCAGGATTTTAGAGGAAATCACGAATCCATGTTCACATACAAGTATATCGAAACATTGATTCGTACATTTTTAAGAGATCATTCAACATAGACTATCAAACCTTTGTTTTATATCGAATATAACTAGAACTATTTCTCTTTTCTACTGCATGTTCATTTGTGTATACTTGTGTCAAAATTTAAACGTTCATTGCCAGCAGTTCTTCGGTTTCTAAATGTTGATTAACAATCTAATAACAATTATTTTGTTTCAACACATACTGATTTATCTTTATTTGTTCAAGAAAGTTTATCTATATAATAGAAGTTAGAGTAAAAATATGGCAAATATCAAGTATTACGTGTCTATTTTTCATTGAATAATAATTCTCAAAGAGAATTTATTTCAAATTCAGAAACAAAATAAAAGTGGATCATAGATCCCCTCTACTCACAAGACTAGACGAAAAAAAAATCAAACATTTTTTAGTTAATGTTTTAAAACGGAAAATGATTTGTTTTTTCATCTGATACAAAATCCACATAGATGATAACAGACAATGTTTAAATCATACAATTTGTTTACATTTCTCTCTATAACAGATACATGTATGTTTGTCGCTAAAAAATAAAAACATCAATAGAAATACATGAGTTTGCTTATGTACATATACAATTGCCGAGTTCTGTTCGCCATGTAGAAGAAAAATGAAAAACATTGAGAAGCACAATAAAGAGAAGGAAAGTATTATACAAAAGAAAAACACGATATATGTTAGTCTACTAAAGACATTGTGATATTTATGCACAAAAAAAAAGCAAACGTTCACTGTTCAATAAAAATATGTTTAAAAAACAAAAACTGTTTATTGTGCTAGTCGTATAAGGAACAAAGAATAAAAGAATTGATTGTACCAAGAAAAAGTCGTTTAGATAGAAAAAGAAATGTTTTCCACGTTTTTCAACCGGTTATCTTAAGTGTGATTGTGGACGGAAGTTGGAAAGGATTTGTTTATTAATCAAACTATAATGCAGCATGTAGCAGGGCACAGTATGCACGATGTACAAACACATGGACACGTGTGTCGTCCACGGCCGGTCGGTGTTGGAGTTCGCGGAGTAAAATAAGCATGAATATTCAAATCTGGATAACGTGTCTGAAATGAGAAAAAAAAAATCAATATAATATGATGATTATCCAAGAAGTCATACATGCATCGATAATTTTTAACGATTTATTCTTGTCTGTTTGATCGGTCTATGGGAATATCTTACCTGAATCTTTTTGACAGCATTTTTTGTTATTTGTTGACAGTCAAAGACATCTAATCGTTTAAGACTTTGACATGTTAATAAATGATCAATTGAACTATCCGTTATTGACGGACAATTATCTAATTCTAATACATGTAAATTTTCACCTGCACATGCACTTGAACCAAGATATCTTACACCTTCATCTGTTATCTGTTCGCAGCGGGATAATGTCTAAATCAAAAAGAAACGAAAGAATTAGTTGATTTACGATAAAGTACAAAATACGTACAAGAATGTGAAGATTTGGACAATTGTCAGCAAGATGTTTCAATGTTTCATCAGTTATCTAAAAAACATGCGTAAGTATATCTTTTAATTTTAGCAGGATGCTTGACATATGACATACGGCAGTACAATCTTCGAGGTCAAGCTTTTCTAATAAATGGCAACCCTAAAACAAAATAATCTTAATAATTATTGTTTACTCATTCTACTGAACACAAAACCTACTTGAGCCAAAACTAGGAAACCAGCATCTGTCAATTGTGGACATAGAGTTGCGTCCAGTTGCCTAAAATACAATAAAGTTGAAGAGTTGAGTGGGTCACTCATTGGAATGCAAGACGACAGTTAATGCTGAGAGATATATCTCATTTAATTTATACAATGAAAGAAATTTAAAAAATAATTGATAACATCATTCTACTAAGTGATATGTGGATAGAGGCAGAAAGAAAAGACAGATAATATACTCATATTACGGTCACTACAAAAAAATTTCATAGTACTATATCTTAATAATGGACTTGTCGAAAATCAAAGTTGAACAGCTCTTAGTTCAAACGGAAGATTTTTTAACGTACTTTAGCTGATGACAATTTCTTCCTAGTGCGATTAGTGTGTTATCTGTTAAACTTCCACAGTTGGCTATGATTAATGTTTCAAGTTGATGACAACTTTGAGCTAATGATATCATACCATCGTCAGTTAATGACTAAAACAATAGAAAGAAAACAATTATTCATTATTCATGTACTTTCGAACTTTTTTTCTTTTAAATGCATACCGAACATCGGCTAAGATCAAGAAATAATAATTTGGGGCAATATTTTGATAATTCAATAGCAGCATTGTTTGTCATCTAGAGAAACAATAGAGAATAATATTCAGCATCCATGTATAAAAGGAACAAACGTTCATGTTAGTTTAAAGAAAACAATCAGTATGGGATCATATTTTTACACTGATTAATGCTAAAGACAATTAAAATTCAAGCTAAATGATTTTCAGAACTATTTTCAGAAGCATTTCTATTTTATGGTAGAATCATTGAGTAAGTATCGAATACTGACATCAATAGATGAAATAAAACCCTTCTTTCCGCGATATCGAGTTACAATCACATAAAATTTTAAAAATTCTCATCTTACATGTGTGCATCCTTCTGCTTTGAATACTGTTAATTTTGGACATGATTCTGCTAATGAACGTATTCCATTTTCGGTGATATTCATACACCAGGATATATCACATACTTCAATATTTGGACAACTCGAACTAAAAACATACAAACAACAAACTGAAACTGTCATGATTGTTTAGTCTATTCTTCCCACTTACCTAATCGTTTTTAATCCTTGATCGTCTATATGATGACATGATGCAATATTGATAACTGTTAAATATTGACAGTGTTTACTCAAATGAAACAGCGTGCTTAAAATGAGAAAGAAAAGATTATTTAACAGAATTTTATTTATTTTTTCTTTTAAAAGAAAGATATACTATACACTCGCCGCTAAACATTAACAACTGCTTAGAAATAAAAATGTTAAGAAGTTCAGTTTTCAAAGAATCGTCGTTTGTTTAAAACTTTGACTTACGTATTTGATAATTTTGTGCAATTCTTTACGATTAAACAATCCAAATTTGGGCAATGATTTGCTAGTACACTAGAATAAGCAAACAAATAGTAAATATGTTTGTGGAATTTTCTCTCAATATTCACTGACCGCATATTCAAATCGGTTATAATTTTGCAATTTTCAATATTTAGACGTTTCAGAAATGTTCCACAACGTTTACTTAAATTTTCTAGTACAGAACCCTATAAAATAAATAAAAACAAAATAAGCATACCTGTTAACACACTTTTCTCAAACACATACTTCAACATCGCGTTGAAAAGTTTTCAGATTAATACTTTGCCAATTACTGCCGTCAAGTGCAAGCGAATTCCAATACTAAAGAAAATTTTAATTGTGTTGTTTAATTCAACAGAAACTAAGAAAAGTATAAACAACATCGTTTGGAAGAGCTAGCGTTTCTGGTATAGTGAGTGAGTGACTAACATGACATTCAAAAAACAAAAAGAAGAAACCATCGATGTCTAGATATGTTGTGGTGAACAACCTTCAAAATATTTAAATCATCGAATATTTGATTGGTGTTTACTTCAAACTTTGTTTGCTCACCTTTGATACTTGTGCACAACGACATAATGATTGATAATCCAAGTAAGAAAATATTCTTAAAAAACAGAGAAAAAACACATATTTTAACCTAGGATGCTAACGATATTAATTACCTTAGTAATAATTCTTTTGGTAACTTTCTATCAATAAGGCAAGTATTTGTATTATTTGAATCAGTCATGTTTGCTTGATTCATTTGCTCGGCTCGTCTACTATTACTGTGACGATTTCGTTGAACTGGTGCAGATGATGATCTATGATGATGTCTGTGTGAATTTGCTTGTATTAGTGGTCGATTCAAATCATCGTATCCATTCAAGCCAAGACTTGAACTGGAATTATAACCATCATTTGTTGTACCGCCGTTGTTACTACTATTGTTGTTGTTGTTGTTGTTGTTGTTGTTGTCTTGAATCAAATGAACGCCTGTCGATGAAGTTGATGTTGATGAAGAATCAGTTGAATCAAAAACGCCACGTTTTGATGATTGATATGTACGCTTTATGAATGTACGTAACGCTGCCATTCTAGAGTACTTGAATGTTTGGAATTGATTTGAATATTGATAAGAGACTATAACAAATAAAAAAATGATGTACAAATAGTTCTTTTAGTCGACTTTTGCTTACTAAATATCGGTTTACCAAAACAGTAATATTTAGTAAACAAAGGTCCGAAAACATCGAAATTAGGAAAACCGAAGAAAAGTTTTGATGTGATATCGAACAGGCTTTAACTGATATAGACGACTGTTCCTTCTATAGCTACGTCATGTAATTAAAAAGGACAAAATCTGAATTCTTCTTTATTTCATCTTTTAAAAAGATATTAAATGAAAAATTGTTAGTTTTATTTAGTTACGGTTTTTCGGTTTTGATATTATCGAAGTCGATTCTTCGGTTTTCTCCCAAAAACCGATGTCTATCACTTACTTCAAACGATTGATTACATTGAAAACAAAATATAAGTTTTAACATCTTCATACCGTATTTATCGAGTCTAATAGCTATAATAGAAAAGTGATAATTATAAATTTCTTTTTAACTAATTTCACGGAAAAGGGACTCATATGCCGAGAAAGAACATCATGTATTTCCAGACCAAAAATGCTTAAAAACAACTCCTTTTCTTAGGCTCAAAGCATCAAACTTACGGCGTTACTCTCATTATTCAAGTTTGAACGTCAGGCTTTACATCCTTTCAAAGACATAACAGGTATTCAGTCACCCATGTTTATCAGCCATCCGTTATCGTATATAGTACTGATTATAGCGTAAAATCTTTTTCAAGTGCCTTTCTCTTTCTGTGAATGATAGATGTCTCAATTTCAATTAGCACAATAATACATGACATTTTCTTTAAAACATGCGTACTTAAGAACCTTTTCTCTTCTTTCTCTGTCATATGTACCAAAAGATGGCCTTGCTAGAAGATAAATGCATATATACATATATACACACACACATACAGAATAAGCCTATTTACGTAGAGACAAAAAGTTTCTAGCTAACTATTTATTTGAGATGTTTCTTCTCTTTCATATGATCATCCATCACCTGCATTATACATAGGAACGTTCACATATTCTTTCTTCTCCTTTATCGTTTTTATACTTATCAGAGAGAAAAAATGTTCAATAGAACGAATGTTTCACATTCTAGGCACATATACACACAAACAAATAGGAAAAAGAATTGTCGTGTTTATGTTTGATTGATTATTTTACTGTGATCAGTTAGAAAGAGAGAAGAGTGTTTGTGAAAAAAGTTTTCTTTTATTGATCTAAAAAGTAATATATGATCAAATTGAAGTAAATACACATTTGCTTTCAGAGAGAGAAAAAAAAGATGCAAAAAGAGTATGATGACTCTAATATGACATTTATCATACATAGCTTTCTACGAAAAAAAAAGAATTATATGAGTTAGTAATAGTTTAATATCAAATAGAGTCACGTGGGATAATTATGTCAAGTTATCAAAATATCGTCGTATTTCTGCATAGTTTGCTCAAGTTTGACCGGAAAAAAGCGGTATTTAACCGTTAGGTAGATGTAAGTATTTCCTATCGAATGATGTAAAAAGCTTTCGGAAGCTCATTAGTGTTAATGAATGCTAATGAATTTCCTGCAAGCAGATTTCGATTGATTAATGGGAATAATTATAGCCAGTTAACGTGTACGCCGGGGTAATTATGATCAATACAGCAAAAGCGGCTTCGATAAACTTAAACAATTATTTATCAACAGGGACTTTTGAGTAAAATGACTAAAAATTATACCATCCTGCAGAGAATTTTAAATCTGTCACGTGTACCCTGGTCGAGACTCCCTCGGGCAGTCCACCATTTTTGGAAAAATCATCTGGTGATTCCGATGAGATCTACTGGGAAGTCACCAGTGACTTCCACGTCGATGAACCTCCACCGGTGATTCTATGAGGATCACCAGGGGAGTTGCTTTTGATACACCCATAATCGACACTTCCCCAAAACTCCCCTTAAGGGGGAGTGTCGACTAGGAACGTTATTCTGACTTACCGGTAGTTAATTAACTAGCATCTACAAAAATGTGTATTTTTTAAAAAGTTAATTAGAGTAATTATGGTCAGTTCGTATAATTTGCACCGGAACATCAAAGTTTATATTCCACCCGCTTACAGAGACCGATTCTACACAAAAACCAAGTAGAGAAGTTGTATAAGAGATTGTTCTCTATCACATGAAGTGAAAAGTAGAACAAGATTGCGAGCTTCTAGCGATTTGTGGCCGTCTGATGAGTTTTGCCGAATTTTAGCACACTTTTGTATCTGAATTTTGGCAGTCTAATAAGGCAGCATCTCTAGTACTTCAGTCATTAAAAGTGCTAAACTTTTCATATTCTACAGATGTTTCTCTATCTATTAAATGAAAGAACAATTTTAAAACATAACTTTTTACGCAACGTTTAATTGAACGAGCTCAAGGTACTAGTATGAACTTCAGACCAACCTTAGGAAAGAACAAATAACTGGGAAAAGTTTCTTTTTAAGTCGTGGAGAAATATGTTTGATTGTCTGACTGTACAAAATATACATGTAAGTGTTTGTTTTACTTTATAAATACTGCGATATGGAAACGCTGCAAGCATACCTTATGAAGAGAGAGAGAAACATCTGTAGAATATGAAAAGTTTAAGACTTTTTTAATTACCGAAGTACTAAAGATACCACCTTATGAAACTGCCAAAAATTCCATGTTGATAAATAATTGTTTAAGTTTATCGAAGCCGCTTTTGCTGTATTGATCATAATTACCCCGGCGTACACGTTAACTGGCTATAATTATTCCCATTAATCAATCGAAATCTGCTTGCAGGAAATTCATTAGCATTCATTAACACTAATGAGCTTCCGAAAGCTTTTTACATCATTCGATAGGAAATACTTACATCTACCTAACGGTTAAATACCGCTTTTTTCCGGTCAAACTTGAGCAAACTATGCAGAAATACGACGATATTTTGATAACTTGATATAATTATCCCGCATGACTCTATTCACTCTGCTATATTTGATATAAACTATACGGGATGATGGCTGTATATGCGTATGATAAATTATAGATTGATAGATTCATGTTGGTAAATCTACATTTAAAAAAAAGAACGAACAAAACACGTGAAATAAAAAAAGATGTAAAACCCGTGAGAAAACAAAGGCAAAGTATTACATGTCTACGTGCGTGCATAACATCATATGCCATAAAAACTCCCTCGTCATTTATATGTTAGACTCGCAGCATGGTAAAATACAGACAATTTCGTATCACGATAAAAGATACAGTAAAACATTAGTCTTAAAATTTATAAAAGATATCTGTATCGGCGAGCTCTATTTCAATTAACTAAAATTTTTGACTTAGACATAACCTCGCAATGCACACAGTTGTTGCTATTTTCTTCCTTTAAGAAAGAATAGTTTACAAAACAACAGTCACATTTGTAAGAACCGAAACTGAGCTATTTACTGAGATTTGCATTAGCCCATGGATTTACAGATAATCTTAACTGAAATGTTTTTGCAACTAGAGCAACACAAGAAGTTAAGTTCACAAAAAAACAACGTTTTTATTAATAGTCTACCTGGTCACAGTAAAACTGAAGTATTTTCTCTTCGTGCCATAAATCAAAAGCAAAAATTTCAAAGCTAAATTATCTCGCGAATACATTACTTAAATGTATTTATTAAACTCAAGCATTCTTATATAAGCGCCGACGAAAAGGCACGCCGTAAGTGAATGTATAATTACATAACAAGATAAATCATTTAAAGATAAAAAAAATGAACGTTATATTCCACGAAAATTATGCTTCAAAACGAACAACATACAAATGAAGTCTGAAGAATTTCTGACCATAACTATCAAAATTAAATCTTATTCCATCTTTCAGCACTAACATTCATACAACACGAGACAAACATTGTTGAAAAAAGTACGAAGAAAAGAAAACAGTTTTTACTCTAAACGTACTAATTTAAGATAATAAATAAATCGTTTAGACGCTGTTGTCTCTTGTTTATTTTCAGAAATCTAAGAACAGCTGACCCAATATGATCACATGTTTTAAAATAAATAAATAATAAGATCAACGCCATATACTAAGCTTTACACCTTCAATCAGAAATCAATGTCATAAAGTCAAGATTTAGTCTACCAGAAATCTCAATAATGGAATAATCAGTTCTTGACTTTTATCAAACTTTTCAATTTTATGCACTGCATTCATGTGTCAGTCATGTCTATATTCACGGGTAAGGTTGCTACGGTAACGGTGGAAAAGAGAATCATTAATGATCACTGTAGAATATAGTTGATGGTTGGTTGACTGTTAGTCTGCGTCGATGTTTATAAAAGGACCAACACAAAATGTTCAAAATATAATGGGTTACAATGAAAACGGCTCACTAGCTTCTATGTGAGCCCAACTTGAGTGACACAAGCTGCAGATGTCATTGATAAAAAGTTCGTAGACTTCAAGTCTATAAAGTAATTTAACGTTTCAATTGAGCGTTTTACTCGAAAGTCTAAACCAAATACTATATCAGGTGTAATAAACGCAAGGAACCTAAATTCAAAAAGACTTAAATAGATAACACCAAGTGAATATTGTCTGAACTGCAATAATTATCTACAGTAGGTGAAATAAGTATCCGCATACTAAAAAGTATTTTTGTGGATTTAATATCTCTTGAAAAACCAGAGGTGAGAAAATTATTCTTTTACCGTTAGATAAGGTAAAGTCTCCTCTATGTTCTTGTCTACTTGAAAAAATCTTCACGATTTTACATGCATTTATAATGAGTCGTCTTTGATATCCCGTCGACTTTTGAAGCGAAATAAGTATTCGAACACTTTCTTTTCTTTATGATTTTTGATATTTCTCAAATAGTAACCGACTTAAATGAACAGTCGCAACATTGAACAGTCATGATCTTTAAAAACTTTTCAATATTTTAACTCAAATAGCAATAAATAAAATTCGAAGGG